GAAGTTTGTCGTTGTCCAAGGCGATTTCAACATCCCGAATCCTCTTCTTCTCCAGGCGCTTGCCTTTGGTGTTGCTGGCGCCCCAGGGACCGACTCCGAAAACACTGCCCAGGCAAACGAATTGCTTGGACAGCGACGCCCCGAATGGGATAGGTGCTTCAGTACCTTGTTGAGTTTTCCGTGGTGGGGCCGCCCGACTTCTGCGTCGCGAGAGGCGCTGTTTGCCACCGACAGGATATTTTACGTCTGTGCCAGACTGGGCGCCAACGCGGCTCGACACCGCGGCCAACGCCACGGGGTTCCCAGGTGTGCTCCACGCATCCGGCCAATCCGACCACGCCGCGTTGGCGGCCCAGCTGAGAGCCCGAGGCGATCCCCCTGAAACCCGGAAAACGATCCACCCCGAAGAGTACAAGTCCCAGAAACATTCAAAGTCTGTATCCACGGTGTTCGAAATTGCCGACGCATCTGGACTGCCCCCGCCGCCACCGCTGGACTTTCACAAGCAAGCGACGCAGGGGGTCGCCAGGGCTGCGAGGGGTCGCTGAATCACGCGCGCACCGTCGAGCACTATCGCTCGCATGATCGTTTTGGAGTCGATCAGCCGAGTCGCCATTCGGCAATGTAATGTTTTCGGAAAGCGTCTGCATCGCTCGCGCGCGCTCGCCCAGCAGTTCCTCGAGCTAGACCCGCCGCGCCGCGCGGTCGCCCTCCTGCAGCCCGCGGCGCGTCCGGAGCGGGCCAACTTCTCTGCGCGCCGAGGCGAACCAGCGCGCGCAAGGCGACGCCGGGGCCCAGTGCGAAGCAGCCGCCGCCGACGGTGAGAGTCAGACATCGCCGTGAGCTGCGGGGTCTTCTGCGTCGCGGTCGCTCTCGGGGGAAGCTCAGCCGTCGCCCTTGCCCCCGCGGGATTCAGCAAGGAGGCAGGTTTTGACTGGCCCGGCGCGTCGGGGCAAGACCCGGCAACGTCGACGGGCGGGGCGGCGGCCAGCGTTCATTTGCAGCGATTCGGCTACGAAGCCGACTTGAGCGACCCCGCCCCCCTCGAAGAAACATGTCGCCACTCTATTCCGAGCCCCGCGTGCCGGCGCTCCTGGCCCTGACGGATTGCCGCGCGCAGCGTGGCATCGCCGCCCAAGCGGGGCGGCCCTTCCCGAAAAGGTCCTGGGCCGGGCCCTAGAAGGCAAGGCGCGGCCGCGCCGCACTAATGAGGTGAATGCAAAGTGCCGGCTGCAAGCTGCCCGCCACTTCGTGCATCAAATCTTTTTCTCGACGCGCCCCGCACGTAGTTGGCCCAACGCAAATGGGGCTTGTTTGCGGGGGGGAACCACGGCGAAAACGTTCCGGGGCTAGACGTCTGGAGTAGAGTGGCTGGCCGAGACTGGCAAGCGCCCCCATCGATGGCCCGCCATTGGATCCCCTGCGCCTTCGCCCCCTCGAGCCCCCCCCCCCCCCCCCAGATGACATGCCAGAACCTGGCGTGCGCCGGGCGGCCCAGTAGCTCGATGCAGTTTTTGTCGCAAATATCCTCAGGGATCACCTGGGGGCGCCCCGCTTCTGGCGCGACATGCGCGATCGGACCCGCCCCTTTCACGCTCCAGCTTAATCCGCAGATTATCATCCCAAAGAAGGGGATAGTTCGTTGCTGTGCCCTAGACGTAGGCGCAGTCATCTTTCGCATCGGCACCATGAACACATCGGAGCCGCGGAGAGAGTGGCGGGTCTGCGCCTCGAACATGAAAAAAAGTGCCACGTCGTCCCGCTCCATGCCCCTTGGTCGCCAGCAATTGTTCTGGACGTCGAAGATTGGTTCAAGGCCAACTTGCCTGACTGGGGTGATTTTGCTGCAGCCGCGCATTCTTCATACCCAGGCATTCAGATGGGCCCCGCGGTCATGCAGCACTCGCGCAAGCACCCCGTCGCTAAGCGCGCGGGGCGCTCGCGCCTCCTCGCGAAGGCGCCCCTGCCAACGGCGGTCAGTTCTATGCTTTGACATTCGCGGGCGTTGCCAATAATTGCCTGCGTCTCCCAGTTATTTCCCCCCTCCTCCGCCTTCCTCCGGGCCGATCGCGCTGCCCTTGCCATTGTTTGTGCCTCGCCATTATGCGCGCTCCCCCGCGGCGACATGTCGACCTTTGTTCAGGTGGGTGGGGGGGAAATACCAAAGTGCCCTAGCCATTAACTTGGCCAGCTTAATTCGGGCCGCCCTGCAGACCTTTTCTGCGCCAGAAGAATTACTGTGACACCTTCGATGATGACTCTGCTCTTCACTTGCCTCCGCTGGGGCTGGCCACAGGACATGGAAGCCCAGACGTTTGGAATCCGACAGCTTTCGTCGAGATCCTCCGCGAGTCTGTTTGCGGTTTCGCTGCCGCCCCGGGGTGGTCCGCTGCTGGGAGACTGGCCATCCAAGCTGGCCGCGAGACCTTGGAACATTCGAGGGAGAGGCTTCAGAAGACGCTCGTTGGCGTGCTGGTTAGAGAAGCATTCCCAGACAATCCAGCTAAGACCTTCGCCGCCCGTTGAAAGAGGCGGTTCCCCCACAGACGCGTCGAGATGAGTGAAATATCTGGAGGGTCGGTCCGAGCCCATCTGCTTGAGATGCCCCCCCCCCCCCCCCCCCCCCCGCAGCTCTGCAGCCCTCAAGGCCATCCGTGGCTCGTGGCCCACCTCCAGCTCCCTTTAGAAGAGCTGCGCTTGTAAATGCGGGTGCTCAGGGGCACAGGCCTCGATTACCCATCATATGGGGTGCCCTCGGTTCACTGATCTTCTCGCTGTCGTGGTCTCTGCTGAGATCCTTCCTGGTTGTCCTCTCTCCCGTTTCGGGTTTCTTCCTCCTTGCGTCCGCTCGCTGCTGCCGCCGCCCTCTGTCGTCATTTGTGCGCCGCACCCGCGTCGGAGGTATTCTCCCAGAATCAGGCCATGGCGCTCTTGCCACAGGTAACGGCTGCCTGCGTCGTGTCGTAGACCAAGCTGGCCGAGGACAAACTCGGTGCGCCCCCCGGGCACGTGCCAGGAGGAGGATGGTGGGGAGGAGGAGGAGGGGGAGGAGGAGGAGGAGGAGGAGGAAAAGGAGGAGGAGGAGGAGCCAGAGGAGGCGGAGGAGGAGGAGGAGGAGGAGGAGGAGGAGGAGGAGGAGGAGGAGGAGGAGGAGGAGGAGGAGGGGGGGAGGTGGGCACGTCCCCAACGAGAAGTTTCCCCCCAGTCACGTCCCTCACGAGTGTTCCTGTCCACCGCTGCGAGCACCAAGAGGGGGGAAGGGCAACGAGAGGGGCAGATAGGCCCACGGGGGGGGGGCGCGCCGACCTCCAATCGTCCATCGGTCGCCTACAAGGCACCGATAACCCCACCCCGCCAAGGACCGTTCGGATTCGCCATCGTGGGCCCATCGCCGCTCTATCGGCGGTGCGTCACCGGTTCCAGGTCGATGTTTCCCCCCCATTCGGTCGGGTGGGAGGGGTGGCCCAAATATAGGGGGTGCGGAAAAAACATCGAATTGCCATTCGGGAGCCTTTTGGGGGCCAGCTGGGTCCTAAGAGAAGCCTTGGAGGGCCTCTCTAGGGCCATTGTTTTTCCCCCCGCACTTCGGCCACCCCCCATTGCCACTCGCCCGACCTAGGAGCAGGCGGGCCTGAGGGGCCACCTGCTACCCCTATTGGAGAGCTTCGAGATGCCGCTGCACGCGTACTCGCGCCTCGCCGACTCTTACCTGGGGCTGGCGCGCGGGCGTTTTCTCTCGAAGGGAAAACGGCGGCATAAACATAACTTCTCGGAGTTCGGGGAGGTTTTTGGATCGGCGCTGTGGACTCCGCTGGCGGCCCCCCTGGCGCCGCCCATGGCCAGGGAGGGGTGTCCAGTGCCGACGTACGACGGAAATCCGTGCGGAGTTCCGAAAAGCTATGTTGATGCAGTTGTTCCTTCTTCGACCATCGAGATCGGGGACGACGATCTTGAGCACGGCGGCGCGCGTGGCAGGGAGCCCGCAAACGCGGCCGCCCCTTCGCGCTTCGCGTGGCTGTTGTCGAACTACATCATGGTGCCCGGGGTCTTCGCCGAGGAGTGGCTGGCGGACTCGGAGACGCCGATGGTGGTCTTCGAGGAGGGCGAAGCTCGGAGGAGGGCCAGTCGAGACAGCGGCGGCCCTTCTTGGCGTTTCTCGTCCTTTGGGGGCCTCTCCCGGACGCGTTTCCCGTCGGCACGGCTGGATCCGCGTCGGAAAACGGGTCGGGAGGCGCATTCTGGGCATCGCCGGGGTGTGTATGTTTTTTTTCGGCGAGGGCCATCGGGGGGCATCCTGGATCACCGGGCAGCAGAGAAACACGCACGAGACTGACACATGCCCGGGGAGTGGGCCGTAGACACGCTAACGGCGATGTAGGTAACGGCGATGTAGGTTTCGGTGTTGTGAGGACGCGTGGTCCGTGCTTTCCTGCAGTTCGCTGCGCCGTTTTTATTCGATACGTTTGCACATGGGAAATGGTTCGTGATTTCCTGCGCGTTGGTCCCCAACAGCACCGTTAAGCAACATCGCCGCTAGCGTGGCCTTGAGCCTGGCATCGCTCGGATGTGTTCATTTTTTCCCCGCGAGGGCCATCGAGGAGCATCCTTGACCATCTGGCGAAAAAACACACACGAAACTGGGAAAAAACACGGGGAATGGACGTCCGAGCGATGGTCGGGGGCGGAAAAGAGGGGGGTGATGACTAGGGGGGGGTGGATATCATGGCGGGGGTCATGATATTTGCCCAGATGTCAGGGCGCCTCTTCTTGTTTCATTACGTCCCAGGCCCCCCCGCTGGGCCGCGCACGTGCCGCCGGTCATGATTTGCACCCCCCCCTCTTGGACACCCCCCTCTTGGCCGCTCCCGAGATGGCCAGTGAGTGGACGTCCGAGCGCTGGCAAGGGCCCGGGCGCGGCTGCCCAGCGGACCTGGGGCCCGGGCGGGGGAGCCGCCGCGGTCTCCCCGTGGGCCCTCCTCCGAGAAGCCAGCCCCGTGCCGATGGGCTTCGCCAGCTTCCCGGCGGCGATCGGAGCCAGGGGGGGGGGCCACTTTAAAACGACGCGAAGATCCCAGACCTCCTACGGTCGTGATTTTTTCATGACGCTCGTTATTCATGATTTTCCTGCATTGTCATGAATTTGTTGGCTCATCTTCCGTTGTCATGATTTTGTCTGCATTGTCATGATTTTGTTTGCAGTGTAATGATTTTGTCTGATTTTTCTTGTTTTTGACATATCTTGAACTCATCTAGACGGCCGTGGTGATCTAGGCGGTAAATTGCTCGCCATGTTGGACAGAACTCGCCACGCGCGCGCGCGCGCTGAGTTCTGTATTGCCGAGAATAGAGAAGCCGCCATCTAATTCCAAAAACTGAATTTGAAATTTTTGGGGCCCTTTGAGGAGGCCGACGGGAATGCTGACTTTTCTATTGTCGACAATACGGAACTCGCGCAACGCGCGCGGACGCGCGCGCGCGCGGACGCGCGCGCGCGCTGAGTTCCGCATTGCCGAGAATAGAGAAGCCGCCATCTAATTCCAAAAACTGAATTTGAAATTTCTGGGGCCCTTTGAGGAGGCCGACGGGAATGCTGACTTTTCTATTGTCGACAATACGGAACTCGCGCAACGCGCGCGCGCGCTGAGTTCTGTATTGCCGAGAATAGAGAAGTCGCCATGTAATTCCAAAAACTGAATTTGAAATTTCTCTGGCCCTTTAAGGAGGCCGACGGACGGGCCGACTTTTCTATTGTGGACAGTATACAGAACTCGCCACGCTCGCGCGCGCGGACGCGCGCGCGCGCGTGCGGAGTTCTGTTATATTAACGACACTAGAAAAACCGCCATGTAAGTCGAAAAACTGAATTTAAAATTTCTGTGGCCCGACGGACGAGCCGATTTTTCTAGTGTGGACAATGCAGAACTCGCCACGCGCGCGCGCGGACGCGCGCGCGCATTGTCGACCATTAACTTCTAAAAACTAAATATGAAATTTCTGTGGCCCGACGGACGGGCCGACTTTTCTATTGTGGACAATATATTAGAACTCGCCACGCGCGCGCGCGGGCGCGCTTCCAAAAACAGAATTTGAAGTTTTTGCTGCCCTCAGAGGCCGACGGACGGGCCGACGTTTTTATTGTGGACAGTACAGCACTCTCCACGCGCGCGCGGACGCGCGTGCGCGCGGACGTGCGGAGTTCATGTTGTCGACGCCAAAAACTGAATTTGCAATTTCTGTGGCCCTTGAGGCCGACGGATGGGCCGACGTTTCTAATGTCGGCAATACAGAACTCGCCACGCGCGCGCGGGGAGTTCTGTATTGTCGACATTAGAAAAGGCCGCCAAGTAAAATTGCAAAAACTGAATTTGAAATTTCTTTCTCCTTAAAGGAGGCCGACGTGCAGGCCGCTCTGGAAAATACAGAACTCGCCACGCGCGCGCGGAAAGCATTCTGGACGGAACCGAAAATAACACCCGAGCGCGGTGACCGATTGGTTTTGAAGTTAACATTGGTTCTGGTGCATGTTTCTTATAGTTCATCACGCGCTCGCGCGCGGGGTGGAAGTTCGATGGGCAAGTCGTCATGTTGGCTTGGAAACTAAAGTGGCCCTTAGCGGTGACCGACAGGATTTCGGGTGACCCGCGCGGTGGGTGGGTCACCCGCCGTACGCGCGTGGCGAGTTCTGTATTGTCCACAATGGAAAAGTCGGCATGTTGGCCTGGAAACTAAAGTGAACCCTTAGCGGTGACCAATTGGATTTTGAAGTTGAGATGGGTTCTGGCGCATGCGTCTTACCATTGTCAATGCGTTAACACACCACGCGCGCGCGTACGGGAACTTAAATAGGAAAATCGCCATACTTGGCTGGGAAACTAGAGTGAACCCTCAGCGGTGCCCGACAGGATTTCGGGTGACCCGCGCGGTGGGTGAGCCACCCGCCTTGCACGCGTGGCAAGTTCTGTATTGTCCACAATGGAAAGTCGACGTATTGGTCTGGAAACTAAAGTGAACCCTTAGCGGTGACCGATTGGATTTTGAAGTTAACATTGGTTCTGGCGTGTGTTTCTTGCCGTGGTCGGCTTTTGAACTAGAATGAACCCCTAGCGGTAACCGACATGATTTCGGGTGACCCGCGCGGTGGGTGGGTCACCCGCCGTACGCGCGTGGCGAGTTCTGTATTGTCCACAATGGAAAAGTTGGCATATGGCCTGGAAACTAAAGTGAACCCTTAGCGGTGACCGATTGGATTTCGAAGTTAACATTGGTTATGGCGTATGTTTCTTGCCATGGTCGAGTGGGAACTTCGGGGAAGTCGCCATGTTGGCTTGGAAACTAGAGTGAACCCTTAGCGGTGGCCGACAGGATTTCGTGTGACCCGCGCGGTGGGTGGATCACCTGCCGCGCGCGCGCGGCGAGTTCGCTGTCCACAATGGAAAAGTCGGCATGGTGGCCTGGAAACTAAAATGCCCCTTCGCCTTGACCGATTGGATTTTGAGGTTTTGGCTCTGGCGTGCATGTATCATGGGCTGTGCAGAAACCCCCATGTGCAAGTATTTAGCAGCGGTGGCCCGCGTTAGCGATCCTAGCAACAGCAGAACAAATACACATGTTCTTCCTCCTCCTCTTCCTCCTTTTCCTCGGAGGAGGAGGACGAGGGAAGGAGGAGGAGGAGGAGGAGGAAGAGGAGGAGGAGAAGGAGGAGGAGGGGGAGGGGGAGGAGTAAGACGACGACGACGACGACGTCGAGGAGAAGCGGAGGGGAGGAGAGGGAAGAGGGCGGGGAAGGAGGGCGAGGGAGAAAGGGGAAGAGGAGGGGGCGCACCGCGCGTGCTTGCTTGCTTGCGCGCGCGGGAGCGCGAGGCCCGAGGGCCCCCGAGCCCGCTCGCGCGCGGGCCGCGCGCGCCCGCAGCTGGGCAGCCGAGCCGCGCGGGCTCGGCAGAGAGGCCTAGGGGGCGGAGGGGAAGCAGGAGGAGGAGGAGGAGGAGGAGGAAGAGGAGGATGAGGAGGAGGAGGAGGAGGAGGAGAAAGACGAGGAGGGGGAGAAGGATGAAGAAGGATAGGAAAACGAGGAGGCTAGCTGCGCACGCGCGGCTCGGGGGCCCCGTGCGCATGCCGACCAGGGCGGAGCGCAGAGCTGCTAGGCTTCGGCGGGGCAGTGTGGTCCAGGCAACGCCAGGCGCCATTGGCTATGCCATGCGGCTGCAATTTGTCCTCGCGCCTGGCCAGCGGGGGCCGTGGTGGGCACCGCGCGGCTTCACCGTGGACGTGCCGCCGCCGCATCACGGCGGCATGTGGTACCTGGCGCCTCAGTCTGCTCATGTTGCAGGCGTCTTTCTCCCCGCCCGCCCTTTCCCCATCATGCTGTCTTGAATGTGTATTTAGTGCTTGCCCCTAGGCATCTTGGTCCCCCTGCGCGTGCAGGGGGTGCTCAATCAGGCCATCTTGTTGTGCTGGTGGCGCCTCCCTGGACGTCGTCTCGCGCCAGCAGGACCGATTTTTTTTCTCGCGAACAAAAGCTTAATTTTATGGTTTTGTTCCGCAGCCCCCCTCCCCTTTCCCCGGGCATCTCCTCTGCGACTACGCTGGCCTCGTCAGGGTACCCATTGGCATCGGCGCGTGATCGCAGGCGACCTCGAGGGGCAAAAAGAGGAGGGGGAGGAGGAGGAGGAGGAGGAGGACGAAGAGGACGCGGGCGAGGCGGCGGAGGAGGAGGGAGGAGGAAGAGACGAAGAAGAAGAAGAAGAACGGAGGAGGGAGAAGGAGGAGGGAGGAGGAGGAGAGCAAGAAGAGGTATGAGAGGGAGGGGGAGGAGGAGGAGGAGGAGGAGGAGGAGAAGGAGGAGGAGGAGAAGGAACAGTAAGGGAGGGAGGGGGGACGAGGGGAGGAAGGAGGAAAGGAAAGCCGAGGAAGGGCAGCAGTAAGCGGAGGGGGCATCGCCAGGCGGCCCATGGCGACACCGCGGCATGCCAAGCCCAAGGCGTGCGTCCACCTCCGCACTGCCGCAGTGGAGCCGTCGCTTCTCGCCGACGTCGGCCCAGGGGGGCTCGTCCCTCCCCTTCCCTCCTCCTCGTCCCCCCCCCTCCTCGTTCCTCCTCGTCTTCCTGCCCATCCTCATCCGCCTCCTCCTCCTCCTCCTCCTCCTCCTCCTCTGCCTCCTCCTCCTCCTCCTCCCCCCCCCCCCCTCAGTCTCCTCGTTCCCCTGCTTCTATGTGGCGAAGGCAAAGGGGGGGCGATGCGTACGGACGGGGATGACGACGAGAAGGATGAGGATGATGATAGTGATGCGGATGAGGACGGAGCTGTGATGGTTATCATGGTAGTGATGATGGTGATAATGATGATGATGCTGCTGCTGATGCTGATGCTGTTGATGATGATGATGATTATGATGATGATGATTGATGATGATGCTGATGATGATGATGCGGATGATGATGATGATGATGCTGATGATGATGATGATGCTGATGGGGGGAGAAAGATGGGGATGAGGCGGATGAGGAGGAGGAGGCGGATAATGATATGGATGATGAAGATGACGATGATGATGATGGTTATGATTATGATGACGACGACGATGCTGATGGTGGTGTTGATGACGATTTTGGTAATGATGATACCGATGGTGATACTGATGATACGGGTGCTGATGAGGGTGCTGATGAGGATGATGATGATGATGACGATGATGGTGATGAGGATGAGGATGAGGATGAGGATGAGGATGAGGATGATGATGATGATGATGCTGCTGCTGATGCTGACGATGATGCCGATGATGCCGATGATGATGATGATGCTGATGGGGGGAGAAGGATGGGGATGAGGTGGGCGAGGAGGAGGAGGAGGAGGAGGAGGATACTGATATGGATGACGATGATGATGATGACTCCGCGCGCGCAGGTCATCTACAACGCGTGGGGCACGAACTGGCCGATGTTCCAAGGCGCCTGCTTGGGATAGCGTTGCATGATAGTGCATGGGGATGTGTTGGACTGGTGAAGGCGTTCAGGTAGGAGTATGGAGGAGGGAG